GGCCAATGTCCACTGGCCATGTCAAAACTCATTTGCCGTTAACGAGCAGCCATTGTGCTTATAAAAGGATTATTTACAAATCACTGACTTTCAAAAATTGTCAACTGCAGGGCAAAAATGCCTGAGGACCGCGCCCCCTTAACCCCCAACTGGCTGCTTTGATGTACAATTTATGGAATTAACCCTTAAGTGCTCGCCGGCATCAGACAGCGGCCGTGGATCAACGCTCCAGTTGATTTCTTTCAGCTGATTGCGGCCGAAACGGAAACGGATCTGCCTTCCGTTCCAATCCAGCCATCCATCTAACAACAATTGTGACTTGCAAATAGATTTTGCGATTTACAATTTGCAATTGATGGCAGTCTTAATGGTTGACTGAATGACCGACCGAGGGATGGGCAAACTTAAAGAGGCTGAGGCTCTGCTTTCCCTGTCCCCTTAATTGATGCCCTTTGTTTGCCCTGTGGTCACTCTAATTGGTGTTTGCATGTGGCTCTCGAAGTCTTGTGTAAACACGATATTCTGGCTGACCAGCAGCGGAAAGAAATCCTACCTCTTCTCCACTTCGGCTCCCCGCCCCCTGTTCTTCTTTTGTAATTTTGCGTGCGTTGTGTTTGCTCATTAAACGGATTTAGCCAGGCGCAGATACGGATTATATCTCATTGGTTGTGTTCAATTCCAAATGCCCTGTTATTTCAAGGAAATATATGTGAAGTAGTACAAGAATTACTGGGATTAGGAAGCTTACATATAAAAAAGGAAGATAGTTTTAGTATAATTAACAACAATGTGCCTTAATACTATTTACTATAACTGTTGCAAATAGCAGCCTAAATCTTTAAAAATAAATGCTTTCTTTCATATTTCATACATAGGCAGAGGAGAAAAGCAATCTGAGTTATAATTCGCCCCTGGGCAGACGTCATCAATTAACAGGCCGCAAGTCGAGTTGGCTAGCCAAGTTTGCGGAAAAAATTGACAGCTAGGGAACGAGTGTTTCGACCAGGCCTAATGAGCAAACCGAAAACGGGCGGCGTGTACTTAACGCCACTTGCGAAATCACATGTCAAAAGTTATTAGCCCGGCGTGTAATTTGTGCCGGGCTGATTACGGAAATGTACATGAAACAAATAAACAAAGTCATTTGGCTGACTCTATATGGAATAACAAAATTCGTTGCCAAAAAGTTGGGATGTCTTGTGTAGCTGCTGTCATTGCCAAAATCCTGGGCCAAAGTTGCTCTACCGCTTTCCACTTTCCGCCTTCCGCCCCTCGATTCATGCTGTCAATATCGTGGCAACATATTTCCTCGCTTAATATTTTTTTCGTCCTGGCTCCTGTCGCTATTTTAGTGGCTGTTACTGTCTGCGAGGACGTGAGGGCGTTAAACTAATACATCACTTTATCCCGTCGCCCTTATCCTGCGTCCTATGTCCTGGGACTTTGGCAGGCTCCCTAACTAACTGCCTCGCCTGCTGTTTGTCTTGGTCTGGCGCGTTTTTCTCGCACCGCGATGTGTGTCAAGAGTTGCCAATAAAGCAGCAGCAGTAGCAGCTTTCCAATTCTCAACCCGATCGCTCCTGCGGAGAAGCCATTGAAAATAAATTTATAACGCATACGTCATGTGAGCCAAGACAGAGTTCGCAGTTTATTGCATTTGTCGCTGGCATTGCAAAACTTCAATAAATTATTTTATTGCGACAGTTATTTTGCTTGCTTTGCCCTCTCCGTGGGTTTTTATGAATTTGTTCAGCTAGCGCAAACATACTATATAACCATGAGCATAAGTACGATATATCTATATCGAAATCCATCTGGCAGGAGCAAAGTTTCTGTCAGTTGGCATTTTCGTTCATTTGGCACTCAAGTACTTGGCAGCTAAATTGCAAATGACTTTATGAATTTGCTGTTACGACTTGGACGAGCTTCGATGACCTTTGAAAGGGGGCGGTCATTGGGATGGATGGTATATGAAGTAATAATCAACCATATAGCTAGATGAAATTGATTCCTCATGAAGCATAAACTCAGAATTGTATAATAAATTTGTGCACGAGCATAATGACTTGTTGAAAGGAAGCAAAACACATACCAGACAATTGCTACAAAACTGAGTCAGTTTAGAGGGCATAACATGTTGATTGATACGAAGACAGCTTTGTGATCCGATCATTTTGCGGCCATATCAGTCTCTGGCCCAGACCCATTTCAATCGAGCATTAAACACACTTTGTCAGTCATAAAAGGGCAAAACACTTTCGTTCCCCTTCATCAAAAGTTGACACTTTGCGAGTTAACCTTTAATGAAAAGGCCAAACAAGCCAGCAGCCTCGAGGGCTCATTGTGAAATTACCCAAAGCGTAAAGAGGGCGAAAACGACAGGAAAAAATAAGAAAATGGAACTCTGGCTGGTAGTAATATGGCCGAAGGCAACAGAACTCTCCCTTTTTCACTGCCATGGCATCCTAGTCAAAGAGGCAATAAGTAGCAAAAATTACGCTAAACGTGGCAATTTCCTCGCAAATTGCACAATATATATACAAAAGCGGGCTCTTATACCCTACGCATGTCTGGGCTGGAGGTCCTTCGTCTACTCAATTTAACTATAGAGAGGAGAATATGCTAAGTTTGTTAGGTGGGAGTACGGATACTCTAGGAAAAATATCACTACAGAAATTATTGATAAGATAATATAGATTTGGTCAAAATAAGCTTAAAATACTTTGAGTACACTTAAAAGTATTGTATTACTTTTTCTTTAAAATCTCTTCATTATTTGAATTGGTAAAAGGTCGTGACTTCTCATTTGGGTGACAAATTGCTGATAACCGTCTACTTAAGCCCGCAACAAAAAGAGTATAATAAGGCACATAGAGCAACGTGGCAGGTATTTTTCATACGTCAAAGTACAACGACGCACCCATAACTGGCACTCTGCAGATGGCCAGGTAAAATCCGGGGCCAGGTGGCAAGCTGAAGCCTGTCAATTTCCACATGGCCCCACATGAAATCGGGGCAGGATTGTTGGTGGAGCGGGGGGCGGGGGGTCATGTGGCAGCGGCAGGAATCGGGCGATATTTTAATGCGTGTCATATTTGATTGATGCCAGCGCGGCACAGCGCAGAGCCGTGGAACAATGTCAAGCGTTTAACATTGCCCCGAGCGCCACTCAAAATGTCAAGGCAGTGGGGTCCTTCCAACCTTTAACCCCCGACCCCCAACCCCCTTAACCTTTATTTCCGCTCTTTTTTCGCCCTGCAAAATTGCCCCTGCAGGTATGGAATGAAAAAGTGCGTAAGGGAAGCCCATTGTTCCTTTGTGCGAGTGTTAGTGTGTGTGAGTGAGTGAGTGCCTCTGTTTTGTGTAATTTAACATGGCAGTTTGTTAACAATTTTATCAGGCCCGAGATGTTTCGCCTACCGAATGAGGGAAATTGCTTCGAGAGCTGTAAATACAGACGCGTATGTTGTGGGGTCGGGTGTGGCCATAATTTATGCCCAGACTAAGTGCATTATGTTTGGCACTCGAGCTTTTAGTTGGCCCCCCTTCCCCCTCTCCCCTGTCGCCTCCCGCTTTCCCCCCGGGCGGACTCAATTATTTGTGGCAATTGGCAGCGGCAGTTGGCGCAACTAATTTGACTTGAGCGGCGTATTGTAGGCAAACAGGCAAACATTTGAGCTCGAACATATAGGCTTTTATTTAATTATGTGAGAGGTACACTATAAAACGAGTTGTGGGCACTTAAGATGGAAATAAAATATATATGACATTATTTTGCTGTATATCAAAACTATCTTTTAACTAACAGAGATACAAATATTTTCTTAAATATAAATATCACGATAAAAACTATTGTTTAGGTCTTAAAACTAATATGATTTTATAACTACCTAACTTAACTGTGATATTGGTCCTTTGGCACCCTACTCGCTTTCACGATTGTCTTTTGTGTAACCCGTAGTTGAGTTATGACAGCTGTGTATTAACCTTAAGTCGAATTAACCCCTTCAATTATTAACCCGGTGAATAGTCGAACCGATAACCCCATCCAACGCCAACATCAATGTAGCATCATTAACCGCTCTGTCTCACCCGGTATTCATCTTATATTAGCCCCACTGTAACCTCAGCACACCCAAAAATAGCATTCATAACACCCCTCCCCACCCACACTCGACTCACTCTGCCGAAAAAAGAAAGATAGAATTTGGCCAAGTGTTTTACGTTCTCTGCTGCTCGTTTCTCGCTCTTTTGCAGGATGGACAACGCGGCCACTTAGAGGGCCTGGCATCCGTCTATTGCGAGTTGCTAATGGCTCCCTTCGGGGACATTTTGTCGGCTCTCGAGCAGGCGCGCCAGGCGGCCTGGGCGGAGCGGAGTCCGCTGCACAGTACCGCCCAGCTGATGGGCGGCGGCGGTGGCGGCGGATGCGGAGGCGGTGGGGCTGGCGGCAGCACGGGCAGCGGCAGCGGCGGTGCGGCCAGCGGTGGCAGCGGCGGGAGCAGCGGCGTCCTGCACCACCGCCAGCAGCACGGCCATCGCGGCCACTCGATGCACGGCGCCGGTCTGCCCAATAGTCATAGCCAGCCCATTTATGTGCCCGGAAAGTACTCGGTATGTATGATGATGACCCCACGGTACCACCAAACTACCCAAACTCTCCCGCCTCCTTAATCACCAACAAACCAAAAAAAAAAAAATAGAAAACGAATGACTCCATTAGCGGTCCCCTAAGGAAAATATTTACAAAATCAACAGAAAGAAAAGAATTTTTCAAAAAAAGAAGTGGAAATTGATGTTGGCGTTGCTTAATAAAAAAAATAACCAAAAAACCATTAAGCATCTATCCGAATAAATTTATTTAATTGTGTGTTAAGAATTGTGTAAATATTTTTAGCTTGCTTGCGTTCTCCACTTTCACTTGCATGTTGTAGTGTGTGTTTAGTTTTCCCGAAAAGTAAACGATAAAATGACTAATTTTTCATCCACCACTTTTTCAGCCCTCTAGTTGTTTGTCCGACAAGGAGGAAGATGAAATCTACGGATTTGGCTATGGCGTCTTTGCACCCCGAGTGGCGCGAGGAGGGTTAACGCAACAGCAGCAACTGCTGCAGCAGCAGACGCTGCAGACGCAGCAGAGCATACAGCAGCAGCAACTGCAACAGCAGCATCAGCAGCAGCAACAGTTACCAATTGTGCCAGGCCAACAGCAACAAGCGGGAGTTGGACCGCATCAGCATCAGCATCAGACTCTGCCACCGAATGTCGCCCATTTGAACTTTGTGCAGCAAAAGTGAGTACAAGATTCTGAATAGTTCGAATTCTCTTTATTGAATCTTAATGCTAACAATAATTCTTTATCATTCAGCTGCCTGAGTCCCCGCTCTGCTTATTTTTATGAATTTCCACCGACAGCTGGTAAGTTGAATAAAGAAAATCCTGTGAAGCAAAGTCCTTAGCCTTGCAGAAGATTTAAAAAGCCAAAGGCTAAGAAGCCAAATAATACACTATAATTTTAATATTATAAAAAAGCAATCACTGCTTGAAGCCAAGAAGATCTAAAACTAAGTTTAAAATTGTTTTTTCAATTTAAAAAATCAAAAAGTTAAACGAATTAAATTGCTTAAGTAAATTCAGATATTGCTAAATTAAAATTCACTCGCAAAGAACGTTATAATGCATGTAAACCCTACCTTATTTATTTAGTTTAAATAGTGTTATTTTGAACAGTAAAGTTGTAATAAAACGTATGACTCCCTCTGCAAGGGTTTGGAGATGCGGAAAAGGGAAATATGTAAATCAGCCGCCGACTTCAATTCCCTTTACTAATTCCATTTCTTTCCTCTTTTTCCCCAACTTCTTCCCCGCGGTTTTCAGAGGGTCGCGAGACAAAGAAACGCACCACACTGGCCCGACTGCTGAAAGGCTTGAAGACTGTCAATCGACGGGATCGGAACAATCAACAAAATGGCGCTCAGGCCAGGGTAAGTAAAGTACTCCCTTCATCCTTTTTCCCCAGGATTTTCCCCCTTTTCTTCACTTCCCTTCCCTTCCCAACCCTCAACTGAAACTCATTTTCGCGCTTCGTTTTATGACCGCAAGCAAATTGTTTGTCCTGTCCCGCAAGTTTTTGTCCCCAGCCTTTCATTTGAATCAACTGCTGCGGTAATTCTTTCAATTTATTTGCTCGCATTTCGTTCGGTTTCCTTTCCTCGAATTTCCTTCTTCTAGGCTGCCATTTTATGACTTTCTGCGTCTTGACTTGAATATTCCGCAGTGCTCTGTGTAGTATACTTAATCTTGGCCCTGGGGACATGTAAATTTTTATGCGCGGCGCGCAGCTTCTCCTTTTCTGCCAGCTGAAAAGGTTAAAAATGTTTTGCCAGCGGCCATGTCTACATTGCCACTTCTCATCCTGGCTGCAACAGCACCACCAGTTTCCTTCCTCCCCCTTCAGAAGTTGTTGTACACTCGCTTTATCTGCGCCGCTCACAAAGGATTCATTCAGCGCCTTTGATTAGAGCAACCTTTGGGGAAAAGCATCGGGATCGGGAGACGGAGACGATGGAGCACAGCTGGAACTGGCGAGGCACTATTCTTGAGCCTGGCAATGAAACTGCGGCCAGGAGCAGAGATAACGTGGAACAGGACGGCGACGCTGCTCATAAATAAGCAAGGACATGCATAAATTTTTCACAAGCAGCACAGAAAAGAATAAATAAAGGCAGGGGAGAAGCGCAAAAAAAAATATAAATAATAAACTGCCGGGGGGAGAAGAAAAAGAAAAATGAAAAGGGGGAAAAGCCAGGACCTGCTACAGATAAGCGCAGGAAATGACTAAGGATATGTGCCTAAGTAGCGGCATCCTACTCAGCCGTTGCCTTTCAAAATATAATTAAACAGCACTCACCTGGCCTTGCGTTCGTTCTCCCACCTGATTTGCTATTTATGATAAGAAAACAAACGCATTAAACAGCGACCCGAGCAGAAGGGTCGAAGGGCGACCCTAACCTGACCCTTGACTCGTTATTAATTAAAAATTAAAGCCCCGCTGAAAGGTGTGAAATATAAAATGGCGTTCCAATGGCGATAAAGCACGATGCTGGACTGGCTTGGCTCGGCCCGACCCTCTTTCAAGTAGTCCTTGATTTATGGGTAGCCTTTTACCTCCCTTTCCCTCCCCCGCCACTCCCCTCCCATAACCTTTGTGCATACTTGAGAAAGTTAATAAGCCAGCTGGGCGATTGACGGCATAGCACCTTGCTCGGCCTGAAAATGAATTTAAAACTTAGTCCTAAATTGATTCTGTTCTCATTTCTTGCAGGCGGCCAACGATCGTCTGAGGCACTTTCAAATGATAAACGGCGGCGCCGGCGGACAGCAGCACAGTTTCGAGGAGACAATCCACAGGGTGAGTACAATGAGAAGGTAGATAAACCAAATGGATGTACATTAAAAAACATTGTGAGAGAAAAGATACATTTAAGAAGAATTTCGAGCTGATTCAAAAAGTCTAGACGGCAAAAAATAAGGAATATATTTTATACATAAAATCTCCTCTTTATTTAAAAACTATGTTTCTTGTTTAAAAATGCGTATGCTGGTGGGATGTTTGGTTGGTTAGAATGGAATAGTCGCATAAATATTTATGCAGCAAATTTAACAAGCTGATGTTGCTGCTGTGTTGCCGTGCTTCTGTATTGCAACAGCTGCGACAGCCAACAAAATTGTGCTGCAACAAAAAAATTTGCACAAACTGCAACAGCAGCAACAACAACAACAGGAGTAAACTTTCGCACACCACCCAAAGAACTCAAACCCCCTCTTTTTGACTGCATTTGCAATGCAATTTCAACACGAAAGCTGCGGCTGTTGCTTTTGAGCACGTTTACCTGTAATAGCATGCCACCAGCAACAACAATTGCAGAAGGAGTGCCGCGTGGAAAGAGGACGCGGCAGCGTGTGGATGCATGCAACATTTAAAAGTTCATTGCCGTCAACATTCATTATTAATGACAGCGCGCACGGCGCCAAACTAAAAACAAGCAGCAAAATGCAATCAACGGCGACAGCAGCAGCAACAACAGACAGACAGCAGCAGCAGTAGCAACAGCAGCAGCAGCAGCAGCAACACCTGCAGCAGCAACATCAGCAACACCTGGAGCAACAGCAGCTGTAACAGCGACAACAACACTAGTTAGAAAATGCATAATGCATAACCAAACATCCCCAATTCAGAGGCGCCCCATTTCCATTTGCTCTACATGAAAGTATACTTTAAATTTTCGTTTGCCAAGAAATTAGTTGGCGCATTCATAAATAAACAAAGTCACTCAGCAAACGACTGGAGCTAACAAGCATTTTCCAATTGCAGTTGAAAGTACAAGAGGCCATGCGGAAAAAGGAAAAATTTCAACGTGAACACGAGGAGGTAAGTGACTTGAACATATCCAGTTCTCTACATATCCAAATATCCTGACCACATGGCAAAGATTTATGCCTTCAAGATGTCTATTCTAAAATTGATAAATGCGAATGGCAAACATTTGCAGTGGCCAGGGATAAATCAAGCATATTTGTTCTGGGCACTTTTCACAAATTAAATAAACATAAAACACTCACAGCCCAAGGGTTGACCGAAATGGTTGTGATCTGGTAGGCTGCACTATTAATTTCACAGATTTCGTAGCCTTATATTTGCATGCATTAAATACACAAACGGAAGAAACAGTTGCAATTGCACAGGCCAAAATGTTTTGCTTGCTTTTTCTTGCCTTCCAGCGTACAGTGCGTTTTGGTGTTGTAAGAAGGCTTTTGAGGATGAATAGCTTATCCAAAATGGTATCATTTTGAATAGGAAAGCAATTTATTATCAACCTAAAATCTAAATGAACCAGGAGTTTAGGAAAGTCCAAAGGTTTTAGTATTTACTTTTTATTTTAAATCATAGTTAAGAGTCCCTAAAAGAAATGACCTATTTTTGTATGTATACATTAATTTTCATAACCTCACCCACAAAAGATAATAAAATGTACGTGTACCATAAAGAGCCTATAAACTTCTTGATACTTTTTGCAGCTATGGAAAATCCATTCATAAAAATTTGCTTAATTATGAGACATAAATGCAAGCAACTTATAGTGTCGACACGCACTGTTTGCATTCGTATTTGTTTTGGCAATATATAAATGCTACGACTTCTACATGCACAAGCCAATTAAAAAAGCTATTAAAAATATTTGATATAAAAACAGCAATTATTCCAAGGCATAAAAGCCTGAAGACCAGGCCAAAAGCTCGAGCTACCAAATAAATGTGTGTGCGAGAGTGAGTGGCGAGCAAACATGCAAAACAGACGCAGACAAAATGTTAAGCACACAGATACTCACCCACACACACACACACACACACACTGGCGCACCCCAAAACGAAGCAACAAAAACAATGAAGTGCAACGTGGCGAATGATAAACTTTGGTCTGTCATAAAAAAAAAATTACTTTCCACACTTTCGTTGTCCAAACGAGGGACATGATAAAAACGGATGGGCGTGTCGGTGAAAGAGAGTAACTTATTTATTTATATGCCAAGAGAATTAAATGTGAAAGCCGAGCAAAACATTTCTTGTTGATTGCTTGATAATTCAGACTGATTGATAATATAAACCCCGGTTCAGCCTAAGCTTTGGGTAAAACCGAGATTTTTCCTTGACTTAAAACCGAAATCGATTAGGGAAATCATTTCTCCCACAACACTGAACATCTTCAATCAACTTGGCAGCAGCAGGCACAGTTAATTATGCCAGTTATCAGGCTCAATGATGGATGCACAGCATGCTGATGCGAACATATACACGCAAAACTCAGATATACAACTGCACTGAGAAAAAATCATCTTTTCATTGTTTATTTTCATTCTAGTTATAATACCCTTGCATAGGGTTAAAAAGTCCCAGTCAATTTCCGATCAACAGCCACGTCGATTTAGCTTTTCATGGTAATAATATTACTTGCGACTTGGATCCTATGATCAAATTTGGATAGTGAAAGCAACGATTAAGTTAATCTTGATGCAACACTTGGCATGACAATAAGACACTTTAAAACTGATATGATTATCTGATGTTTTTTTCCTGTGTACTCACACAAATTGCGTTGGTGCACGACAATTTGTCGACTGTTTGCCAGTCCAGGAAAGTGTGTGCTTCTAAGCAAGGGCAATAATTTTTGTGCATAAATGAAAAGCACACAAGAGGTGGGGCAAGGATATATAGGAGTTCGGTGAGTGTAGGGGAGGGGCCAGGGGTGTCACATTGTTATTGTTGTTAGTGCTGATGCTACTGCTGCTGCTTAACTTGTGCAAACAACATTCTGTTTGTCTAATTGTAATTGCTGTTTTTGCAGCCCCCCACATGGCAAGCAGGCTGCTCTTCCGGCCTTGTTTTCCATTTGGTCAGGAAAAGCTGGAATGGAAAAAGAAATTTTTGTTGTTGTATGTATGTCTAGTACCGAGCAACATGAAATATTTATGATGGGAGTGGGCTGGAAATTCTGTTTTCTTTTCTTTTCCTTTTTTTTTTGGGGCCCTTTGCATTTGGCCTGGCAATTAAGCAGGCGGCCCCCAAACCTTAGATGTGATTAGAATTGTAAGAAAAGATGCTGGGTCTTCTTGGCCACGTAAATTTCAATTTGGTAACGGTAACATCTAACCAATTGTGTGGGTGAGGACTATATAACACGACCCACCCACTGCCATTTGAATGCATTTTTAATGCTACTGGCCAAAAAAGCTTTTAGCTAATTTTTCAGCGCCCCGCTTTTATTGCCGACTGTTACTCTATTTCTGTTTTGCTGTTTGTTTGGGCGGCCCTGGCATGCTTTTCGCTATCCGGCAGTCAGAAACATTTTCATATATGCTCTCAGAATTAGTATGCAGCGCACACAGAATGCCATTATGCTGCAGGACACTCAGGACATGCCGTGCCCAAAAACAGAAAAATAGTAACAAGCATCACATTCTAGTAGTTCGCTCTGCTTGCGCTGGGAAAATTGTTTTAGTTTTCAAATGGAATTTTGTAATTTTAACGCCTTTGCCTGAGACTCTGAGACTCGGAGACCGACTGACTTGGCTAATAAGATGCCAGCTGTAGAAGTACAAGGAGCTCGATAGCCCGAAAGTTGACAACATTTCGTCCTTTCATTTCGCACAGCAGTCACGTTTGGCATGCAGACAAAGTGCTGCCCAAATACGAGCAAACATGCATACGAATACGAATACGAGGACCCCGGGCGAAGGCGTTGACTTTAACATTTAGTTTTATTTAGTTATAGTCTGGCTGAGGGTGCCAAAAAGTTGTCAAAATGGTGACAAGACTTTCTCTGACCATATAAAGTTGGAACATTGCTGATTGGCCTTGATTGAAATAAAGCTAGTCTGGTGTTTGGTCAAAGGAAAAACTTATATATACTTAACTAAATTAAATACCAATAGTGAAAAGTGCCCAAAACAAAATAGGCTTAATTATGCTAAATTATTATTATTTTTTTAATACTAATGAACCTTTCATCTCTGTTTGATAGATCCTGCGTGACATTCGACAAGGACTGTTGCAAATGAGTCGAGGAGAAGGACGCATGGGTAAGTCATAACAAAAAGAGCACAAAAGATGGATAAAGGAAAACTAGTGGAAAAGAGGAAAATCTAAGCGAGTGCCCCAAAAAGTATGAAGCCAGGAATTTTACACTTGAAGTGCTTCTGTTGCAAGTTGCAACTGCCTGCTGCAATAGCAAAAGAGGGCGTGGCCCGTCCGCCCGTCTGGCGAGCGTCACATGCATAAGCGAGCATAAAATCTTATGTCCGTTTCCGGACCAGAATCCGAACATAAGCCCCGGACCACGGACTCCAGACTCCAGACTCCGGACTCCGGAGCAACTTGCTCGGCTCGCATGTGGCAAATGGCATTGCAAGTTTTGTGTGCAACGTGGCGTATAATAATATTGTGTTGCAGCCAGTCTGCTGGCTCTGCACATTTTTCGGGGCGCTCGCAAAAAGTTTTTAAAGTTTTCCTTCTCCCCGCTCCCTTATTTCCTTGGATCTAATCCTAAGCCTTACTTGCGGCTGCTAAACTCGGTTTATTCTCCTTCCAGACGATACGTACATGTACGACGAGGCGCTGAGAACGGGCGGTGGCATGGGCATCGCCGGACTGGGCATGCCCATCGGAGTGGGCGGCGGCGGAGGAGGCGGGGGGAGCGGCACATTATGCGGTGAGTGCGCTGCATCATCAAGGTCATTGGTATGACGAGCCGCCCTACGAGAGCGATCCCGATGACTTTCTCATGGCCGGGCTCAACTGCGGACCAGCTGCCACTATTCAGGTGAGTGTCGTTCTTAACGTAGTATTTTAAAATAAGACCCTTTTTAATAGTATAAGTAAGAGTAAGCTGAATAAGAATTTAAAATACCACCTTTGGGTTTTAAATAAGTGATATATAATTTATTTCCAAGGCTTATTCTTCGAATGATGTAAAATAAGATATTTTTCTTAAAAGAAAGATACAAGAAGTTTTAAATATAGAATATATTTAGATAAAAGATTAATTTATTCATTTTTTAAGATGTCCGGTTAGAGCTAAGCTTTGAATAATAATACTTTGTATTCAAAATTTAAAAAAGGAAGAAACAATTTAATTAGAATAATGTAAAATGCATAAGAAAAATTCTCGCAGCCGTAAATCAGTGTTTTTCATGTGATTCTTGACATTTCTATGACCCGTTCAATGCGGCTTGTGTCAACCTTCAAAAAAAAAAGAATTGGCAGCGGCAACATTGTCGCAGTTGCAATCACATTTGAAATTTATGCGCCGCATCCTGTGACGCCGTTAATCCTGGTTTGTGGGCGGAGGACTCCTTCGAGCCGAGGGCCAAAACCCGATCCAATACCAGTTTCCATACCAATTACAGCTGCAACCCGCTTTGATTTCTCTGTGGAATTTGCCAGCCACAAAAGTTGTGAGGGAGTTTCCTCTTCCATATATATATACATTTTTTTTCCCCGTTGAGTTTTCGGTTTTCTTCAGCGATTTTCGCTTTGTGGCTTTCTTCTATTTGCTTTATTAAATTATACGCTGAATATATTTTTGTGCTGGCGCATTGATTTCTACCCACTTCGATTTGTATGTCCATGTCCTTTGGCATTTCGTCGTTCCTTTGCCTGTGTGCATAACTCCAGGACAAACTGCGACTCGAACTCACTTTATTTTTATTGACAGTCAAAAAGTGCATAATTCCTGTTGACTTGCTCGACTTTGACTCTCCCAGTGTGGCTGTGGATTGATCCCCTGGATGGAGAGACGGGGGCGAAGTGGGATGGGAAACTTTGCGAAAGACGTCGCCGTCTTGAGACTTTTCCTTTTGCATAATTTTCTTTGCCCCTTGATTTTTTTTTTTTGCACTGCGTTCCCGGGGAGTTGCGCTTTTGTTGGAACGCATTAGGCAAGTTATCGGGGGAATTTGTTTTCTTAGTCAATTGAAATCACTCAGCGCTGAAGCGTTCGAGGCATTCGAGGCGGCCCAACTCTCAGGGGCCTTTTGTGCGGGCCTCTTTCGGTTTTCAGCCGCTTTGATGTGGCCACGAAATTTGTTTAAAATTGAAATGAAACTTTTGCGGTTCCCGAAAAAGGTTAAGCTCGCAGTTGTGGCTGCTTAACGGAGCGAAGTAGCCGGAGATAATGCATTGAAATTGAATTGTTGGTTTTGGGTCCGGCCTTTGATCAGAAACCGGACCCACAAACATTTCACATGATACGCGGCTCTCTATGTCATCAAACCAATTCCAGCCGAGTTTGCATACCGAAAATATTGTGGATTAAACCAACCCGAAAGGCGAAAGAACCTTTAGCACTCCCGCCGATACGCTTGGTTCACAAAATCTAATTCGGATTGGAGTATTTTTTCATGCCCCCATGCGCAACCCAAAACTTTAGCTGCATTGCCTAAATTAAAAACGAGAAAACTTTGCAATTTCCGTTGGCAAACAACCATACGCAAAAAAAAATGCGAGAAAAGAAAACCAAATTTGTGTTCACTAAATTTAAAATTCCAAGCTGAAACCGGCAGCCACATCAAATCAGTGCAACAACAACAACAAGTAAAAGTACAGTGGAGCCAGCCGCAACAGCAAATAAACTCGCTCCTCTCTCACGGCCTCATAAAGTTTTATAACTTTGTTAATTTTTCATAATTTTGTTGCTCTACAGCGGCCAACAAATTCTACTTGAATGCTAATCCCATGTTGTGCGCACTCTATCTCCCTCTCCTTTTACGGATATGTGCACTGAACGAAGTTGTCGAAAATGCCGTAAAATAAGAGAAACAAAAATATATTTAAAATCAAAGATATTGAATACTTTAAACTTTTTAACTTGGGTTTCTCTTACGAATACTTTAATCAAAGTACTTACGCATAGAATTTTAGTAGCAGAATAGAGATTAAAGTGTGATGGAATGTATGATTTTCTGTAAATGTTAAACAAAGTTTTAATATATATACCCAAGAAAAGGTAATATTACCGACAGCAGTTCTACCCAAATAAAGACTTGAATTCTAATCCGAAATAATCGAGTGTATTTTTCTCCATCAACCTGAAAGTGGGTTGTAAACCACTTAGCGTGATCCATTCACCATTAGATTTTTATTATTATTAAGTGTTGGGCAGTATTCAACACATTAAATTATTATTAAATAGTATTTAACCCATTTTTATTGTGTGCAATCCTAGATGCAAAATTTCTTATTACAACTTTTTTGTTTCTCGATTTTAGATGGCGTTTTTCCCCCAGTGTATGTATGCCCCTCACTCACGGTTTTCTTCTCCGCTTTTTTTCCAGGGTGGCCGAGTGCGCTTCTCGAACAACCGCGAGAGCACGGGCGTAATTTCATTAAGATCCGCCGGAGATATTTCATTGCCGCAACGTGGACCGCCGCGTAGAGGTCTTATCGTGCCGCAGCAGCCGCCAAATCCACCGACAATAATACCCTTAACGCACGCCAGGTGAGTTCGGCCCGCGGGGCAGGAAGTATCAAGTGGATCCCAAGTGGGGACCTCGGGGGTGCGGGGCAGTGGCCGGCCGGTTGTTGATTGCCATTATTATTTGCAGTTGAGTTTATGGCCAAAGGGCCGACACGAAGGTGGCGCATTAATAAATAAACTGAAGCCCGTACCCGCCGACCTTCAGAGTGGGCAGTTATGATATGGCAAACACAATTGCCGAACCCTTTTCCGCACTTCAAAGGCGTGGGAGTGGGAGGGATCATTGAACCATAAAACTGTGCCACAAACGAGCCCAGTCTGGCGTGAAAAGGTCCAGCTTTTGGACCAGCAAACACTAATAGCTGGCCAAGGCGAAAGCAATCAAACAGCTCAAGTCTGGTGGCCATCTCGTATTTATTTGTCAATCGGAAAAGGTGCACAGGCCCCAAACTCCAGACAGACAGCAAAAAAAAAAGCAAAAGGGAAAAGGGTAGACTTCACTTCATTAGTGCGGTTATCAACGGTCTGCAGCCAGCCGATTGAATAAACGAATGAATGAATGAATGGGGGCTTGAATGAGGGAATTAGTGAGTGACTGAGTGAGTGAGTGAGTGACGAACGAGGAAGGAGGAACCAGCTTGACTGGCAGACGGCACACATATCGAAACGCATCGATGCGAAAGTCATCAATTTCATATTGTTACGCATGCCACACTCTCGATATATACACGGATCCTGGGTCCTGGGTCCAGGATCCTTCTCGCAGGAGAAGAGGTATTCGAAAGCAATAAGAGCAAGACAGCGACAGGCCGGAGACACTTGAATGAAATGGCATTATTGCTACTTCAACGCCAATCCACAAGTCAGAGCGCCAGCTCCTCAATCAGCCAGCTAGGTAGACAGCAGCCCAGGGGTTGAGTGAGAAAAATCCTGAGGGGGGAGTGCGAGATGGAAAACGCCACCCTGCGTTTTCCACACGTACGCATACAAAAGGACTTGCTGAAATAACTTATACGCCTCGTGCGCCGCTGGGGCCACAAACGAGCCAAACGAAAAGAAAACTTTTTCTTCTCACGAAATGCGAGGGAAAACCGGTAGAATGGGAAAACGAAGGTGGAAAACAAACAGCAAAGGCAACCAAAAGTGAAAATCTCAACAGTGTTGAAGCGAAATGGCAAAGGAAAACCTGCCAAGGAAAAAATAAGAAAAAGATATCAAGTATTTATTTATATGACCTTTGTTTGCCACTCGACCTCGGGTCGTGTATATCTCAACCTCTCGCCCCACACCTTCCTTTCCTTTCGGTTATTGTTTGCCATCAAAATGTTTGCCGTTTTTCGATTTTAAAGTTTATTTTTGGCCATTATAAGGGGGCAATTTTCAGACCAGGTTATTCCATTGATATGACGCATAAAGAAGATTTCTGTGCAAAGGAAAAAAGAAGAGAAGTGAAATGTATATTATTTGGATGAGATTAAATTTGTATTTTAATAGACAAAGCACAGTAGGATGGGTGAAATAAACACTTTAATCCGCTTAAAGCTTCGAGAGAGCAGTTGTGATAAGATAAGTTATACAGTTTTTAATTAAATCATCTTTGTTCAGAGTTTGGAACTTAAATGAGCACAAAGCATGGGACTTTAAGAAAGAATAAAAATATAAAATGGCTTAATGAAATTATTATTTAAATTGGATTATTCTTTGGCTAATATTTATAAATTTTTATTGCAGATCTCATGATCGTGAAAGCGGCGACTATGCGGGCTCCATCTCAGACCTCCAAAGCGTTACCTCCAGGCTCAGTGCGGTGTCGGTAAGTGCAGGAACTGAGTTCCATTCGGATCGGGCTCATTTAACTTGCAGCTTTGGTCGCTCCTCCGACTCCGATTCCAATTCCAAACCCCGCTTTGCAACTGCATCTGAATGCGTCTAAATTGATTAAGTGCTCTTTGTGACAAACAAACTTCGCATTTGGCCAATGTCGTCTGGTCGAAAATGGACGATAGCAGAAATGCACGTAGATAGAGGGAAATAAAAACGAGCGGACGACCGAGGAACGCACACAAACTTGAAAAGCTTTTTAGCCAAGTTTTTCCCCAGGCTCCCCCTCCCCTGTCCCGTTTTTAGTATTTTTTCCTTGTTTTCCCGGAGTCGGAGTTGGCACTTAAGCCAGCTAAACGTTGTCGGAATACGAACGGCAAATGCTATTGGTTTGGATTTGGGATGTGGGTTGCGGGGTAGGGACTGCGACCATTTCATTTGCAAAGTTGACTTGCTCTAACTTGGCTAATATGGAAACGCACTCAATCCGCTTTTCTACCACCGTCTCCCCCTCCTCTTTCAGATTGGCACCAACAACTGCACGGCCCGCTACAGGACGCTGAGCGGCGGAATCGGGGAGTCGCCCTCGCTGTCGCCCAGTCCGTCGTCGGATTACGAGGACATCGGAGTGACCCGGGGTCACGGATGCCTGCCGCCCAGCCTCCTGGCCGCGAAGGCCAAAAAGAACGGACTGCCGCACGGCAAGGCGAACACCATTTGCCAGAAGGCCACGGTGCATCATGTAAGTTCATTAAACGCTAATGCCAGAGGAAAACAGATTTCCGCAGAAGGAGAAGTGCATCGGGCGAGTGGAGCTGGAGTCACGGAGATTTTGTTGACACATTTTCTAATTAGCCGCTGGCCAATGGCGGTTTGCATATGCAATTGCCTTCAACTAGACCTCGGCCTAAGCCTCATAATGGCCCCGCTCGACCTAAACTCTTTGCCGCGACATGCACTCTAAATGCAAATGCCAGTTTAATGAGTTTTTATGGCCGCTTGCACTGTTTGGCGGGGTCGTAAAAGTGAAAGTTCAGCTCGAAAAACTTTCGATGCGAGTCGAGGCCTGCCCAAAAATATGAGCAAAGTTTTTGGTGTCCAGCATCAGAAGTTAAAGGCTTAAGGCAAAGCAAAACTAATGCAATCCGGTGTCTAAAACCATAAATATCACACAGAAACATTTATTTTACAAAAAGCATATATTCAGTTTTAGTATTTTTTAGTTTTTAACTTTTTGAATAAATTTTAAAAGACCAGTTTTTTTACCTTAGCCGTTTAATTCAAGTCTTTCCTATCTTTATCTTGTTTTTTAAATGAAAACGCATGGATATTTTACACATTTATAAAATTTAAATTAATGGAAATAAATTCCAACATTTTACTAGCATATGAGTTACACTTTATTTTCTGTGTACGCAAACCTAGTCTCATGCTCACTTCTCCTCCCCTGCGTATTGGTATGTTCGTTTTAAACTTTTTAATGATTTAACTAACAAAACTTTCCTGCTGTTCTTGTTCTGTTTCTGGTGCTCCCCTTCGACATGCAATTTATTGCACAACGCTGACGACGACGATGTCGACGCAACAACCAAAACACACGGAAAAAATGGATAACTTTCACTACGGCTCGGCTTGGGGATTGTTAGTCGGGCGAGATGCGTAGCTCGGCAAAGGAAATTGGCGCATTTAATGAGAATGGACGAAACTTTGTTGCCACAAAGGATACGTCGAGGGATTTCAGCAATTCCCAAGATAATACCGACCGTGGCAGCATGAGCGATCAGGCGTTTGCCTGTTCGGCCAGCTCCGTGGAAAGTTTGCCCAGCGCTTCCGGTTCGAGTAAGTAGGAGTATGGATAACGAATACCGGGAGAATGGTTGTGTATCTGCTGGGACGGCTGTGTATCTTTGTCTGAGCTGGCAATTTAGAGTTTTCGGGTTTGATTTTGTCTGCAGCACGGATGTTCATGCTCCTTTCCTTCCCATGGAAAAATTCCCAGACTGCCTTGCTGGCTGGCTTGCATATTGGTCTATTAACAGTTGTAGTTCTTGTTGCGGTTTTTTGTTGCTCCTTCAAATTTCGCAAACTTAATGAATTTTTAATGCACTTGCTGCTGCCGGCCCTGTCAGCCGCTGCTTTTGGGGGTCAAAAGGGGGCCAATTGCCGATGGGCGGGGCAGATTGCAATGTCTGGGGCGTGGTTAAATGAAGGGCAACCGCTTCCTTTTTAATGAACAAAACTTTTGGCCAAATAAAAGGCAACACCGGAGTAGGACGATAGGGGGTGGCAACTTTGAAAAGTGCAAGGAAAAATACTTTATTTTTCATGTGGCCAGGACACAAAGCAAGGATTAGCCAAAAGCTTTGGCCAGCAAACCAAACAAAAGCAACGCAAAGAAAACAACAGCACAGAAAAATAATGGAAAACTTCAAGTGCATATTTGAATATTTTCGGGGGCCCAAGTGTGTGTTGGTGTGTGTGTAAAAATATTTGAAAAGTTTTTAATTAACCAAACGAATGAGTGTGAGTTCGGGCATGCATGCATGGCTGGGTGTTTGTCCCAAGTAAATTCCTTAGGTCCTGCGGCTAATTGGCTGTGGGCGCATTAATTGGAAATTTGCCAGGACAAACTTTGGCCCAAAAAAGGCAGGGTAAATATTTATCAATCTCCCTTCGAATCCTTTCGCCCACAGGTACCCAAGCGCTGGTTCGTCCTGGCAGTCCGCACAGCTCGATTTCGGCCGAGGATCGCACCTCGACGGCCAGCTGCATCTGCAAGGCCAAGGCTCTCGTGGATAGTTTGCCCAATCCCTACGACAAGGAGGCACTCAAATTCAAGGTAAGTTGGTCTAGGTTAGTTTGAAACTTTGGTGAGGGAACACTTAATGGCTTACCGAGATAGAAATCGCTTATTAACAATTCAGTAATCTATTAACTTTCTTGACTCTTAAAACGTAAATATTTTGCTTACCCAAATCCTATTAAGAGTGGTGTAAAAACATTTCCTAAAGCTCGTTTATTTTTAATTTTAAGTTGCCCTCCTAAAACCATGTTTTTTGCCTTACAAGTAGCTTTCTTAACTCCCAAAAGGATTTCTCGGAGCATGCTAATCTAATAATATTGTTCTCCCATCTGCAGAAGGGCGAGCTTATTGATGTGCTGTCGATGAATGCCTCGGGCATTTGGAAGGGACGATGTCACGGCCGCGTGGGCCACTTCAAGTTCATCAACGTGGAGGTGCTCCCCGAGCAGCGCATGAAGAACTCCAGCAGCAAGACCCTGGCCCCCGGCTCCCGGCTGGCCAATCCTGGCAACGGAAGCCACAATGGAGGTCCCTGCTCCGTGGAGGACCTGCTGATTCGCATCGGACTCAAGGAGTACACCTCCGTCTTCGTGCTCAACGGGTAAGTGGTGTAGATGAAACAAATTTACCAACAATATTTTTGTTGGATTGTTTCACCTATCGTTCCATTTGCAGCTACGAGGACCTGGAGCTGTTCAAGGAACTGGAGCCCGCCGATCTGGACTACCTGGGCATTCTCAATCAGGAGCATCGCGCCAAGCTGCTGACGGCTGTGCAGCTGCTGCATGACATTGAATGTAAGTTTTGTCCCAAAAGCTCCTATTAAAATCACTAATTACTGGCACATTTTATGCAATGATTGCGGACTTGATAGTTTGTAAACTTAACCAGTTTTTGGGTTTAGTTTATGATTATTTAATCAGATTGCCAATACTGCTTGTTAAAATTCAATGAAAGTGAAAGACCAACAGTAATAATATTATATGCATGACGAAACAACAAGATAGCTCAAAACCAAAATCTAACGTCACTTTTTAAGGAATTGTGAAATTCTTAATTTTAAATCTTAACTTTATTAGTCAAAGGCATACGATACATTGTATTTTCTATCGGCTCTTCAACACCCCATAAAGCAATTGCTGATAAGTTTATAGTAGCGATAAATTTGGTTTTGTGAACTAGTTTAAAATATTATTACTTGCGTTCACCCATTGTTCGAGTCATTGCTAAACTGAACCAAATATTGTTAAAGCCTAACCTAACCCACTCTCACCTCGTACCAAACACCACACCCATTCACACACCCACGCATACTCACAGCTACAAATTTCGCCCGCACAGGCTCCGATGTGGACATAGCCGGCTCCAGCTCGGAAAATGATGAGGCCCGCCTGAACAACATCAACATCAAGCATGGAGCATCGCCCTTTGGCCGGCGGCACTTTCCCCGCGATTCCGGATGCTACGAGGGATCCCCACTGCCCAGTTCGCAGACACCCACCCAGGCGGTGAACTCGACGGACGAGTCGAACAGCCTGGACGACGTGGTGACCAAGTGCTCCAGCGAGATTATGAAGCGCGTGGAGAGCGCCCGTCGCTGCAAGGACAATCCGTTCAAGGCCACACTGCCGGGCGGAGGCCGCCTCGGCAAGAAGTCCTTTCTCGGCGGCAACGGCCTTATGGCGGACGATACGCTCACGCGTGGAGGGCTTAGCGAGAAGTCGAGCGATTCGGGGGTCAGCAGCAGTTCGCTATCGTCGGGTCCGCTGAAGAGCAGCACTTAACATTTGCCCACCATTCTGGCCCACGAGCTGCTGCTGGGCGTGGGCTCGGGCATGGGCATGGGTCTTGGTCTGGGCCTGAGCCATGGCACCACCGGGACCCTGACGCCCCACGGACTGGCCACCGCCACCTCGCCCACCGCCCATTCGGCGCCGCTGGGTAACATCTGCAACACTCTGCCACATGCACCAAGCTCCTCCTCCGGCGGAGGCGGAGGGCTGTCCTCCTCCATGGCCAGTAATCTGCCACTGAACCGGAACTTGGTGATGCTGCGCAATCACCTGCGCAAGAATACCGGGAGCAGCATTGCCGGAAATGGTGGCGCAGGAGCATCCGGTGTAGGAGTGCAGCTGCTGCAGGATCAGGACGACAGACTGGAGGATCAATAACCCATTTACTACATCAAGTTCTTAGTTTAGTCTCCCGTTGAGTTAAGTGTATTTCAATTGCTGTGATTCGATAGTGAAAACAAAAGGCCAACACGCGTCTTTCAGTTCAAATGTATAGTATGTATAGAGAGAGATAGACAGACAGTTAGGGAAAGAGAACGGTATAGTGGGGGATGTGTGTTTAGAGAGAGAACGATAGAGAGCAGAGTTAGTCAGAGTCAGTCAATCCTTCCTCCGATAATGTTGGCATTTACACAAATATATAACACTTATATATATAAATACAGACTTATATACATACACATCTGCAGAAAAAGAGAAATTTTATATACTTAGAGACGTAACGAAAACGTTTTAGATATTTTGACTATTTTTAGTTAGCCTCAAGCTATGTATTGAATGAGACTTGTTTATTTGCCATTTGTTTACTGTTTAATTGCTTTGTGTATGCATATTTCTCAACGTGATATTGTGAAACGTCCAACTTGAATTGCATTTTACATAGATTCATTTCCAACGTTTTAATAACAGACACACACATAGAAGTTGATTCCTATTTTAAGGCACTAATCTGGGTGCAAGCAATAGACCAATTCAATTTTAACAACCAAACAACAAAATATTTATACACGAAAAGATACAAACATAAGAAGAACAGAACACCAACTGCCATTCGAAACTAATTTTAATTTGTTAAACTCGTATAAGGACAATGTAAAGGGAACGAGTGCATCGTGCGAATCCGTCAGAAACTTGTATAAATAATGCCGAAAATTGCCAAATCGAGCAAAAAAAAGTAATGTACGCTAAGCAATATTTTCAAATCGTCGACTCGTGTCCGGATCGTGTGTACATATATAGGATTGCGATCCAGTTAAGATTTATTATGCCACTTATAGAAGATATCAAAACGTATCCACTATGAGCGATTTAGCGATAATCAAAAGCAGACAATGAAATTAGTCAGGCAGCGCAAATGTTTTTAATCAGTTTCCATCAATTAGTTAAATAAATGAACGAATATTTATCACGGCACAACAACTACGAATAACATATTAAAATTTAAACTGATTAAAATACATATTAGTAGCATAACCTAGCGTAGAGCATATGATTCTAATATAGCAAGTGACTAAATGTAAATTAGTTTATTTGGAGAACGCTTTGACTTCTACTCAGAACGTAATTAAACCTGAACATATTTTGTGAACATAAGATATCGATATTCGTATTGTAACTCAATTAATTCTAATCGCAAATAAATTAAATCAAATTTAAACAACAAACAAATCGCACGTGTTACAGCCAGACGAAGAAAAGGGTTAAATACAGATATATTACGAGGGGATGAGGAATACTGGATTATAGGCATTTTTTAAATTTAACTATCCAAATTACATTTAAGTGTTTCAACTGTAAATTGTAACAAAGTCAACAAAAGAATATTTATATATTTAGAGACGAAATGAGAGGCAACACACAAAACGAACACAACCACACAGCATGTGCTAGCATTTTCTAATTATCACTGTAAAATGATGTAATTTAAAGACAGAATATATAAGCAATATTAAAGTTTAACCTTACAAGGAGCCACAAAATTGATCATTAAGTCAACACATTATAATTGCAAAACAAAAACCAGTAAAATTCCAATACACAAAGTAAAAAAACGAGAGCGCAAACTAAAGTATTCAGAGTTCAGTAAATTTTAGAAGAAATTTTCAAAGAAACCAAAACAAAGTGGTAAAAGATGATTCATGTTTATGCATAAATCAAAGTAAAATTCTTTAAATAAAAATGAACATATCTAAAAAGTAAATAATGTTATTTATTGTTATTATTGGGAGTGAACGGAAATATTGTGGGGAATATTTGGTACCAAGGTATTGAAATAAACAATTTTTATTTAATGGGTTAAGGGAAAGTTAAGTATAGTGTATTATCTTTTATTGACTCTTATTGGCATTGACTTTCCCATACCCTTGGTGTTGCTCTCACTTATTTTTCGATGGAAAAAGCACTACTTAAGGCCACCAGTCCGCTTTTGATCGGGCAAAAAAGACCGCCTCAATGGCTTTAGAAGCAATTTTGACGACACTTTTAGTTCCCGGCAATTGAAAGCTACAGAGTGACCTCGCCAGCTCAAGTGATTCACCCAACCAAGCCCAACTCACGATTGCTGAAATGTAAACGATCTCCGAACCAGGAACCCTTGAATCTCCGACGCGCTCTAATAGTCGCACCGACTTGGTGTCAGTGACAGTCAATAGATTAGCACAGCGCCGACGTAATCAGCTCTGATTAAATTTACAGATCCACTCCTTATCCCAGGTCTCTACTATCCGATGCTAGTGCTGATGATGATGATGGTGATGATGTTTATTCATAGAGTGACAGTCGTCGCTGGCTTAGTTTTTACAACGTCTAGTCGGACGGCCGGGAACTGAATTTGCGCTTAAGTGCTTTAGTAAATTGTTAAATTGCTTTTGTCTTTCGCTCGTCCAGTATATGAAAATATGAAAATTGATATTATTGCATTTGCACAAGTCGAGCCAAGTGGACTCTATCTCATTGCCAGCTACGTGTTCCCGGCTTAGTTTCATCCCCAGTCACAGTCGACAGTCAAAAGCGGCAGCAGCTCAAGCAGAGCACAAAGATAATCGCGCATTTAATCTAATAAGCAAATGGAAACAACCGAAAAGTATAAAAAAGTATACGAGTTTTAGATAAAATCAAAGTGCAAGTGCAGTGGGAATTATCAAGTGCTTAGTTTGGAGCCATAACCTAGGATTAGCAGTGTGTCTTTGCTTTGTCTAGTCCCCCAAATATTTTTGTATGCCGTAGTCTCGTGTCTATCTTATCTGTTGAGAGGCTTACGAGCTCGTTGGGCTACTGGCTTTTGGCCTCTATAAAGATGTAATTGCATCTGCAATCGCCTGGAAGCCCCATATCAATCAAAAGAGTTTCTTTTATGTAACTGACAACAAACGGAATGTAAACAATTTTATGACTACTCACATCCTATACAACTCCGGCTTCATTAAAAACAAATTAACTATTTGTTTTTGCTGTCCCACTGATTAGCAAGATGACCCACCGAGCCCTTATCAGTGGCAGTGGAGAAAGGTGATTAGATTCGTGAGCCCTGTGTGTAAAAACATAACCTGCTCAACGGGGCAACCATCACTTTCAGTCACAATTTGGACAGGTTCAGAGTGGCCCGGCTCTCGCAATGGTTATACACATTTGTGTAAATCAGATAGACATTCTGTTATCAGTAATTCGTTTTATAATGCCCGTCTTGGCCTGATAAGTGGCCCCATCACCATTCGGGCACTCAGAACAGCACCGTCGTGTGTTGGCCACAGTTGATGAGCTCTCGCAGGCGCCAAAGTCTAAAGATTCGCACTTTTGCGGCGGGATGTGAAAAGTGTAATATCGCTGCCAAAATCCGTTTACATTTCCAAGTTTCCCTTAGATTGGGATGAAGGCTGATGATCAAACACAGAAAACCCATAACTGATTTACATTAAATACCTGTTCAAAGTGTACAAAAATATTTATTTATTTATTTCAAATCTTCACTACCAGTGTTACTATCAAAAGTAAAGGTAAGTGTAAAAACCAAAATTATAACTATTAAGAGTAATTTATGTTACATAGAAATTGGCTTATTGTAAAACATCTGATAGGCATTAGTGTTTTCTCCAAGTAAACATATATAATTTATTAAAGAAGTGATAAGTGAACAAGAAATTAATGAATGTTGTTAGAGTCTGGCACACGTGCTCTTTATAATACTAATGAAAAAGATTTAAAATCCTATTATCAACTGAATAAATAAAAGAAAAATGTCGTTTCAAATGCATTCACAAAATTCATAAATCTTTCATGAGTAAGCAAACATTTTTTAGTAGAAAAATAATAACCACAAGTTTAAAGCAGTTTATAGTCATAAATGATTTTATGTCTCCCCATCAAACAAATCGTATAGTTCCCTGACAATATAGAAGATACGACCAAATATGTTTTTATATTCATAATTTGAAGATTTTAACAACAGTTCGGCGACAAGTGTCTGAATAGGAGCCCCGACAATCTGCCCCAGCTAATTGCCGAGCAATCTCCTCATCTTTGGCCCAGATGCCATAAAGATTACTCTTCTTATCGGGCCCTACGACTGACTGGGTACTCAGGCACTGCCACTTGGAATACTGGTAGTGCAAAATGAGAGACAAGAAGGAGCAGGCGAACAGCCGCAAGGCCTCCCAGGTCTCGGGACACTTTTCCCAGATGGACGTCGACGAGTCGGAGTTCAACGATCCCTTCCAGACCCTGATGGAGAAGGTGGGCAACCATGGTCGCTATCAAACCATGTACAATTACGTATTTGTCGGCGGCTTGTCCTTTTGTGGTGCAATGATCTACATGAACATCATCCTGGCCCTCAACGTGCCCGATCACTGGTGCACGGTGCCAGGCAGGGAGAACACCAACTTCACGCTGGAGGAGTGGCGGGACATCACCCTGCCCAAGTAAGTGGGGGATCCCCCTATCAAATTCAATAAACTGAATCTAATTTGGTATAGAAAGCTCGACAACCGAGGCAGGGAAACATTCAGCAACTGTGAGATGTACCAAACAAACTTCTCAGAGATCACGGACTGGTCAGCTTGGAGTTCCAGCAATATCACGAAAACAAACGAAAGTGAGTAGAAAATTAAATAGATATTAATTAAGCTCTTGGGATATTATTTTTAAGGAAATCAGATTTCTGGTAGAAATAAATGTATAAGGAATGTTCCTTATTAGATTTTTATTCCCTATTAACTTTTTATAATTCTTACTTTCTATTTATTAAATCCTAACTTATTATTTATTAAATCCTTAAATTTGTTTGGGGAACTTCAAATGAAGTTATCCAATTAAAATCGAAAGAACGTCATAGGTTCTTTATACGCATGTCTTTTTGTTTGTTTATTTAACTTAACTTGCTGATAAACCTCATCAAGTAGCGGGCTTATTGCCAAATATTTATCCAGCTCCCCGATTTCCATCAAACTCTGAGGAGAAGGTAAATACATACGTTTGCCGGATTAGTGGTGAAATTACTTGGCATTTCGCTGCCTCCCCCTTGCTTCTTATAAATATTTGCAACTTTGCACTCGAATGCACTTTACGACCGCTCCCCACTCGCTTTTTTAGCCTGCCAGAACGGGTGGACCTACGACAGGACCTGGTACGACAGCACCATCCCCACGGACCGCAACTGGGTGTGCGCCAAGGATTTGTTCGTGACAAATGTGTTCGTGGTGGGTCGTGTGACGGAGGTGGCCGGTTCATTTATATTGGGACAAATGGGAGACTCGTAAGTAGCGCGACTTCCACCTAACTAAGTTATGGCATTGCCGGTAATTGAATTTGTCCACTTGGCCGGCAGTTACGGTCGCAGGCTGGTGTACTACATCAGCGTGGTGTTCTGCTCCCTGGGTCGCATTGCGTCCATCATGTGCACCAGCTCGTACACGTGGTTCCTCATCATGTCCGGCATCGTCGGCCTCACCGTCAACAGCCTCTTTCAATCGCCTCAAATTGTCGGCATGGAGATCTCCAGGGAGTAAGTTTCTCGCCAAAGTTTTCTGCCCCAACTTTTATTGCTGACCCACTCCAATTGTGTCCAGGGAGGACCGCAGTCGAATCGCCTTCTTCCTGAGCTGTGGCTGGTCCATCGGCACCACCCTGATGCCCCTGCTCTACTGGTGGCTGCGCCACTGGGACTCCTTCATGTGGCTCACCTCGGTGCCCACGGCGATGGTCCTGATCTTCTCCAAGTAAGTCACGCAGGGCGAGTCCACAAAAATCTAATCATATACTTCGTTTCTGTCTTGACATTAATTATTTCTTAAGTTCGTCAATTTCCCATTCTATGAAATAATCAGAAACTTTTTTGGAATATACATATAGAGCAATTATAGTCCTCACCAAATTTAATCATTCACAGTTTTGAAGATAAGTTCAGTCCTTAAAGATAACAAGTAATTTAAAATATAAACAATAATATCTTGGAGCAAGTAGGACTAATGAACTAACTGTTAGTCAAAATTAAGTTATAAACGGACTCTTTATGTTTATACAATCCCATCCATTAAATTCTTATTCGAGGCCTTGAATAATCTTAAATTTCCTCCACAGATACGTAATCGAATCGCCCCGATGGTTGATTAGCAAGCAGCGTTTCCGCGAGGCCATTGTCCAACTACAGAAGATAGCCAAAATTAACGGCCATCGCTTCGACATGACCGAGAAGGAATTGGCGGAGATATACAGTCGCGACAAGCAGGAGGTCACCTACGGCATCGCATCGCTCTTTGCTGGCTGGCGGCTGGCCCGCAACACCATCATCATGGGCTTTAGTTGGTGAGAAACGTGGATAGACTGCGAAATAAAAGTGGCAACATCAATTTAGAGTCAAATTCAGTATATAAAAGAGATTTTTTTAAGACATTAGCAACCTGTTATTGAATTAATCCAAGGCTCCAAAACTATTAAGTCTCTTGATATATTAAAGATTAAATGGCTTTTCTTTTTTCTCTAAAAATATGTTAAAGACCTAATTATTTAATCCACAAATCGTATTCATTAAAAATCCTTTGCTTAAAAAAGATCATCCTTAGGCAACTTACAACTTGTTTTTCGCTTTCAAATCTAAGAAAACATTTTAAAAATTGCACAAAATTGTTCGCACTGCATTGAGAATTTCACACCAAAAGCAATTTGCATGTCTAACTGGCGATTCACTCCGCTTGCAGGTGCGTGGTGGCCGTCTCCTATTTCACGCTGGTGCTCTTCAGCTCCCGCATGGCGGGCAATCCGTTCCTGAACTTTTTGTACCAGAGCATCGTGGAGATCCCCGCCTACATTGTGGGCCGCTACATGGGTGAGTGCTGCGGGGCGTGACGCGGTGCTGATTGGAGCAGTCCATCACCGGAGTCCAGAGTCTCCTCTTACCCTTTCCCTTACCCTTTCCTCGCAGGCGACACGTACGGCAGGCGCTTCACCAACGCGGTGTCCTTCCTCATCTGCGCATTCACCTGCCTGCCCATCATTGTGTATGCGACGGACGAGCGGTACGAGAGCCTGATGATCTACCTGGCCACCTTCATCAAGTTCCTCAACGCCCTCACCTTCTTCACGGCGAACCTGCAGTGCCTGGAGATCTACCCCACCTGCATGCGGCAGACGGGCGTGGCCCTGGGCACCATCCTGGCCAACGCCATCGGGATCCTGGCCCCGTACCTGGTCTATCTGGGCACCACCGTGGACATCCGGGCGCCGTACTACATTCTGGGCATCCTCTTCCTGCTGGGCGGCATCGGAGCCCTCTTCCTGCCGGAGACGCTGCACAAGAAGCTGCCGGACACCATGGAGGAGGCGAACCACTTTGGTCGCCACGATGTAAGTATCCGGTTTTTAATTTGTTTTGTAAACGACTGGCAGTTAACAATCGCTGGCAGCATGAGTCTCATTATAAATTAATTAATTATTCACACGACAACTGCCAAAAAGTAAATAAAACCGATTTTTGTAAAAATATTTAAATTATTACCCTTTTATTCAGATTTGTTGATAAAGTCGCCGTTTAAACTTTACCTCCCTGAACTATTACTTTTGCTCAATCTGATAATTCTTTCTTTATTTCTATTAGAATATAACTTAACTTTAAATTCTGAACAAAAAATATTGATCAAATCAAAAAAATCAGTTTAATATATTTACCTTAAAATCATAAATAAACAAATTCAAACATCTCGCAAGCAAACATGCAACTAAATATATAAAAGTGGCAGAGGCAATTTCACTGTAATTATTTTCTCCAAAGTGGCAAGAGTTTTTCAACCTTCTTCCGCTTTATGAGCAATGGGCCACGACGATGGAGTTCTTCTGGCACATCTAATTTATAATCTAAATTATGCAAAGCAGCCGTAGCCTAATTTCATTTTTCACAAATTTAATTTACAGAAATTCTTCAGTCTGCCGAAACCGCCGCCGGCGGCGGAGAAGGACGACAGGCTGTCATCCCATCCGGAGTTAACCAGGCTCAGACGCTCGGAGACGGCGCCCTGAATCCCCAAATCCCGGAATACCGGAATCCTCGAGACCGAGTCCTGCCAACTCCTTCGAAGTCCTTGCCGGCAATCGATTCCCGTTGCCATTCCCGTTCGCCGCTCACGTTCCCCTTGTGATGTTACGTTAAGTTTGGCCCCAAAGTATTGCGAATAAAGTATTGTCATGTAGGCAGCCGTAATAAGACCCGCATAAATCACAAATCACACCCGAACGCCCGACCATCGCCGCACAAAGAAATCCCTGCAATGAGTTTATCAGCGCATCTGTCAGAAATTTACAAATTACCTGGGGTGGCTAATGCTGTGGCTAATTTAATAAATGGCGCTCCACCAGCACAGTGCGCCGCACACATGGCGTATGCGTAATGCGTGGCAGGCGCCTGATTTATGCAAGTTATGTATCAATTTTGATCACCAGTTGCAGGAATTGAGCCCTCGTCCTCGTCCCGTTCTGGCTGGAAGTTGGCCAAGTGCTAAACTGTAAGCAGCCACTAACACCAAAACCAACTGACAGCGGAAAAGGCAAATACAATGTATTGGAATGTGCAGAAATGGTAAAACGAAGTAGGGATGCACTACCAGAATCGTGAAAAGTAGAAATAAATTCTATACAAACACAATCTATGAGAGGTTTAGTCATATAAGAGAACAGATAAGTTATTTACTCCATAAAAAAAACTTTAAGAGATATTCTAATAAGCAATACGGTTTCAAAGGATATGACTTTATTCAAGAACCACCACTTAAATCTCTTCATATTCTCACAGGTTTTTGCAGCATTTGGCAAGACTGATATAGCCTTCCTTGAACTAACCATCTTTGCCGGGTAAAAACTTTTACTCGTACGGCTTGCCAGAAACAGGACGTGCAACTTTTGTGCGCAAAGGTGTTTCGTTTTTCAAGTTATTTATTATGATTTATTTGCCAATGTGGCGCGCTGATGTGGCAACGTCTGAGACGGAGACTGAATCTTGGTCTTGGACCGGGTAAGGCGCTCCTTCCACTTCGCCGCTGCCACTACCACTACCACTCCCAACTACCAACTCCATCTGGCGTGGCTGCAGAGGCGATAAGTAAATTGTTTATCCTACTTGTGAGTTATGTGCTGCGACGGCCAGCCAGCAAGCCAGGACAAAGAGGAGGATGGGGGGCAGGACCACAGGACTCTAGGACTCCAGGAGCCATTCAGTTTGATGATCATGTTGATGTTGGCCCTAGGTTGGACCTCGAACTGGAGCTGGAGCTGGAGCTGGAGCTCGGTAATGGCCGGGGCAGCTAACATTGTTATGCTTTCATAAACAGCTGAGCGCAATTTTCTGATAAGCCAGGTCCTGTGCCTCCGTGTATGAACTGGTGTTGGTGGCTATTTGTTTCAATTTATCATAAAAGGCAACGCCGGAAGTCAGCCAAGCTGCAGTTGAATGAACGATGGAGGCGGCGAGGTCTTGAGGCGGCTTAGTCGTAAGACGGCCAGCAAAAGTCCTTGGCATCTGGCTGAGCGGCATTAGAAGGGATTCCCGGCCATTCGCATCGAGGAGCGGCCCCTTTAAGGACTGCATAAATACGGCTCACAATTATCGCTGTCGCCAGCCAAGGCTGTTACACTGGAGGAAAAATTATCATAGGATTAGAAATATATACTCTTTCAAAATAAACACATCAGTTAATTCCTAACTCATGGTCTGAATATTTTAAAGCATTTTTACAAGCAATTAATGAAGGACCATAACTCAAATTGCAATTTAACTAAAACCAAAAGTAGTTCTTCGAAATACGGGCTCAATAAGTAACGTTATAAACCACAATTATTTCAAAATTCAATTATTATTCCTGTCAAAATATATAAACTATATTATTCATAAAAGTAGTTTCATTTTGTTATATTTATTCATTTACACAGAAAACTTTCCTATTTATCTGTGGTTTTAAAACACTCTGTTGCAGAATAAATCGACTTTAAGTCCAAACTAAGACTTTTTGTTTAAGGAGTGGTTAGTTCTCCCCAGTGTACCCAAATTACCCCCAGCTTCAGCTTTAGCTTGTCTTGAGAACTGGTCCTTCCTCGGCCAAGTTCGTCCTGTGCTTCTCGTCCTGGCAGTAATGAAAACAAATGCCCGGCCATTTGCAGCAACAGGGACAATTAAAGAGGCAAACATTAGGAGACTGCAATGGCAGCAAAGCGAAAAGGAAATCTGGAGTGCATTGCCGCTGCAACGGCAAGGCTTTTACTACAAATTTTCCCGGGGTTTTTCATATTTCACGCAATTGAGAGGGAGCCAAACTATTTGCAATATTTCAGGCTGCCACACGAACGAAATCCAGACATGAAAAATGCAATGCTTGCTTGGGCTTCCTTCAGTGGCTGAAAGTGGGCGGAAAAGTGGCGGCAAAGTGGGTGGGATTGGGCGCAAGAAGCGGGTGCCACAACAGTGATTGCGCTTTATTTGTGATAATAAAACACACCATCGCGCCGAGACGACGACGACAACGTTGGAAAACTGTGGGGGAAAAGTAAGAAGGGGGAGGGGGCGAAAATCGAACCGCGAAATTGCAACAAACTGCGCGTGCATTGGCCTCCACGAAAACGGGAAAAGGGTCAGGACGATGGGTTGTGGCTCCGGGGAAACAGAGCAGAAGTCAGGACCTTGCTGTCGGGGTAAGAATATTTAAGCTGCAACAACGTTGCAGCAAATATTAAAGGAAAACACGGACGGCAGCGGGGCGCAAAAGGATTTACTGCATATTTCATGTTCACAACGAACCAATTTTACGCTCTTCAAATCCTATTAGTCAATGGCCCTATGGGGATGCACCACCACCACACCTCCAGTGGCAGCACCACCAGCAGCAGCACCACCAACAGCAGCACTACACTTAGGGAAAAATCTATTCTTAAGAGCTACTCAAATAAATGAGTTTCTAAATGGTAATCTTTCTCAAGGCTTTTATTTTATTTATTTTTAAAATTAAATGAAAGTCCTTTGAAATACTGAAGTTGAAGCACAATATAAGATATAATAATACAATATAAATATATAAATAAATCAATAACGAATATAAAAAGAAAACAATATGCTACAATTATTCTTCTTAAAACATAGTTTAAGCAAGTAGATCAATTATTGTTATTTTATATACTACTGAAATATAGGTAATTATAAATATAAAACATTTATATTTGTTTAGAAATTAGATAGAATATTATTCATTATTAAAGCGTATGTCTTGTGGGCATTCACTGCAAATAGTTATATTTATTTATTATATATTTTAAATATACATATTTTTTGTATATTTTATTTCTCTGTGCACTCGGCAGGAGCTTCAAGCAGGGCTTTCCGCCAAGGCAGCTGTTTCGGCAAAGGGTTGGGACTGGGTGGAGTGGGTGGTGCAGGGTGATTGGTGATGCCTCGGCTCAGATACAGCGATTTACTGGCACACACTCGGATATATGCAGCTGTAGATATATCCTTATGTACGTACTATATATAAGTAAGACTCTGGCCTGGGTCAGCTTAGTGTGTCTGGCATTTCCGCACGATTATGCATGTGAGTGGCGGTGTGGTGTTCGCCAGCAGGCTGGGATGTTGGGCGGGGATAAGCCCAGTGGACAGCCCGCAAATGCCCGAATGGAAACGGCTCTCATCAATCTAGTTACTTCGAGAGCATGAATTATGAAAAACGTGCAAAATGCAAACGGAAATTAAAATTTATAAAAAAGAGCGGGGCAAGAAAACGGGGTTTGGGGGATTGAGAACTTCCACTCGGTTAGACAAATGCGATTTCGTGGGGCGGAGGGGGTCCAGCACACGGAAATCAAAGAAAACACTAGCCAGAAGCCCGAAATAACAAATGAAAAAACCCGGGGGCAGAGCTAGGGAAATATGTTTGGGAAAATTAAACATATTATCCCATACTCCGAAAGGCTTTCATCCTGCACAGCTGTTGGAAAAACAAACCTCAACTTTGGCCGCATACAACATTTTTGTCAGGGTCCTGCTGCTGTCCTTTATTAATTTAACAGGCTATGGCAGTGATGCGATGCGACTTTGACTACAACTTGAACTACAACAGGGGTTCGAGGGGCAGGAAGGACGAGGGGCAGGACGAGCGACGGAATTCAACAAGCCATAAAACATATGAGGCAGCCGAGTCGCATGCATTTTTCATGAGCCGTTGGCTTTTGTGCCCATCACAATCATCGGACCAGGCCCAAAAAGTCCCAGACCCAGGAACTCCCGTCTCCCTTCTCCCCACCTTTATCCTCCTGGCGACGCCAACAATCATCATCAGCACTCGACCCCATCCGCTCCAGCGGAGTCAGCTGGAGGACTTCTGCTCCTCCACTCTTGGCTACACTTGAACTTACAATGACACGTTCGAGGTTCGAATATTGTGGGGATTGCGGGGTGAGAGGGTGGTCCTGCATATTGGTTTGGGAATATTCGAGTAGGAACCTGCCACTGCATTTCCATTCCTCTTTTTTTTTACCCTCACACAACTCTTTACTCTTTTTCACACAAATTGCTTTCATTTGTTTTAATAGGACATGGAAGGATCTACAAACTTTGAACCCTGATTTGTGCTGTGGGAACTTGCTTACTTGCATACATATAATTAAACCCAGCAATTGTTAAGTTCATTGGACGAAGAGCAAATATGTCTCAAGGTGTCAATGAAATGAGAATATGGTTTTAATCGTTTTTAAAATGATTTCAATCCTAACCAGTAAGCCCTACATCTAAAAATAATAAAATAAAATCCATTGTCGTGGCAGTTTTATAGACGTCTAGATTTAGCGCCTCACTTCATTATCTCCAGATTTCAAATATCTTTATAGAGCTTTTGTGTAGGTACACATTATCATTTAGTGATATACCATCTTGTGTTCCTCGTTTTCAGACACCAATAAGAACTGTTTAAAGTTTGCCTCCATTACAACTCGCTGATATATTCAACCGCTATTTGTAACCCCTAAGACTTACTTTGCTTCCTGTGATTTCCCCACCAGGAGCAGGAGAGGGCTTAGGGCAATCTCAGCTTGCATGAAGCGTCAGAGCAATCATCAATCATTCGCCACGGGCAACTTGAGGATACGGAGGAGCGACATTGATGGAAGCCAACACCTGACTTCTCACCCACCCACCAGCCCTACCAGAATGTCCTTTTTCTTGATATACCTGTCCTTTTATAAACGTTCTCTTACAAATAT